CTCAGTCTCTCTATCCTGTTTGCTGCCCTGCAACAACCCAAATCCAGTAGAAGCCCATGGAGGCTTCAGCTGCCAGACCTTAGTGCTGGGGGCTGGAGGATCTCTATGGAGCAGGCGGCTGAGCGGCCAACCAGGAGGACTCGGGTGTATTTTTATAGGAGCATTTTGTAGTTGGAAGCAGCAGTGTTGTGTACAGGTGGGCTGGGGGAGCAGGTTGATCTCCGTTGCTGTGCCTTTAGGTCATGTTTTGTACCATGAGGTGAGAGGCGATGGAAGTAGCAGGAGGCACATGAGTGTCAGGAGCACAGTGCTTTGTGGGGAGGCAGGGGCTGGCCTGGGAGCCGACGTCCCTGGGGCATTACACTGCAAAGGGCTCTCTGCTAACTGCTGGTGTTTCCTTTTCAAACCAAAGAGCAGTTGTGGCCAGAGCCTCTCGGGAGTAAAACATGTTTCTACTCTGTACCTGTGCTGCACTTCCTTTCTGACATTTGTTTCAGGCGACTTTCAGGCTTCTTCGCGCTGCCTCCGCTTGGCCTCTCGCATCCCTCACACCCAGGAGGGTTGCTGTGCTGGAGCTGATGTTGCATCAGCCCTGTGGCAAGTGCTCGTGCTTGGCTTCAAGACGTGGTTGCCAGACCCCCTGAGGATGCTCTGTAGGGCTGGACAGTGGGTGGTCCCTCCCAAAGGGTGGTTCTCCTAGTAGGCAGCCTGAGCATAGGGTGCTGCTGAGGAGGCAGCAGGGAAGGTTAGGCTGGGCAGAGGTGATGTGGATGTTGTCCAGGACATAAATCCTTCTCTCTAGGGCTGCTGGCTTCCTGAGTCCAGGAAGAAGGTAGTCTGTGACCTGGGCTTTTTTTCTGATCTTCACTTCCCCTTACCCTACCTACAGTCTTGAGCTGTGTCTCAGCCCCATCTGCTCCACATCTATTTTGCTTATACTTTTAAAAGACCTTCTCAGCTCCTTTTCCCTTTGTTCAGTTCTTTAATTGTAAACAGTGTTTTGTTTTTCATCCCTTTTTACATTTTGCTTGTGAAGTCTCTTCCTTCATTCCCACTCCCCCTCAGACCCAAATTCCTCTCTAAGGCTGAGGCTGGATCCAGGTGATACCAAACCACTGATGGTGAGGTCAGGTGTTTGGGACCTGAATCTTGATGGAATCCAGTGGGTGCCTCTGGTCCTCCTCCACACGAGGTCATTCATCTGGCTGGGCATGGGCAGTGCTTGTGGCCTGGCAGTTTGGCTCAGCCGGATCTTGTCTGTGGTACAGCTGGCTCTGGTGAGCAAGTCTAAGCCAGGACCAGGAGCCAGAACAGAGCTGTAGGAAATGGGCACTGGGGGTGAGAGCAGCCTGGTGGGTCCCTTTGCCAGCTCTTCAAGGCTGGTGATTCAGTCAGTGAAGGACTGTCAGATGTTCCAGGGCAGAAGTCATGGCAGTAGGGTGGGCTTGGACTCCTCAGTTAGTTCCCCTGGGAGTGCCTGTAGAGCATCTGTGTGCATCAAGCAGGTGGCTGAGCTGAGTTCACTGTGGCATGGACACCCCCGGGACCATGGGTATGCCCAGGTGGCCCTGCCAGTGCTCCAGCAAGCAGACACCATCCCTGTGATCTGGATGGGGAGATGTGCACACTCTGGTCTTGGGGCCCACCTGCTGGAGTCGGGGACGAAGGGGAAGGTGTCCTCTGACAGAGTTTTGGGACCATCTCTGGGTGCTCAAGCCAGCCCTTGCAGGGGGGAGAGCAGGGTGGAGAGCACTTTCTACACTTCCCTTGGGTAGTCCAGGCTGCAGCCGAAGCCTGGCTATTAATAACAGGCAAAACCCCTTGTTATTCTTCAGAGTCTGACTCTCTCTGTTGGGTGGTGAGTTCACCTGCGGGAAGGTTCCTGCACACACAGGTGAGATACCAAGATGCAATAAGGGCAGGCCAAGGTTTGGGGCTGGCAGCTCCCCCCGGGCCAGGAGAGCTTCTCCCCAGCTGCCAGGCCTCCACTGCCCTGCTGCTTTCTGGACGTGAAGATGCTGCTCTCACAGCATGCCTGGGATGCTCAGTGAGGAGAGCAGGACCACAGGTGGGAGCTGGACCGTGGGCTTGTCTCTGAATGCCTCCGAGCCGTGGATCTGAGGGACGTCATGGCCAGTGAGGTTCTCAGGCTCCTCCTAATCTTCACTCATGACTCCGGCAGAGTTCCCGGGGCTGTGGGAAGTTGCAGCCAAGGTTGATGAGGTTTGTGTGGCTTGCAGTGCCTTTAACACTGCTCTCCGTGTGTTTCTAAGATGATACTCCATGTATGTGTGTGTATATATATTGTATTAACACATCCCGCTCTTCTGTGTGAGTGTCAAATGGTTTTGCTTTACTAATAAATTTATAGTTATTTATACCTTCCTGTGGGTGTGTAAGATTTCTGGAGTGGAGGCCATGTGCCAAGTACCACCTCCCCGTCTGTCTTTGTGCTCTCTCTGGCTCTGCTTGATTTTTTTTTTCTTTTTTCACATTTTCTCTCTTTTCCCTGAACTTTTTTGAGGGAGAAATGACAGTTCATCTTCCTGGTAACCAAAAGTCAAGATGCAGGATATGGGTAGGCTCCCAGGCAAGCAGAGTGTGCAGTTGCCCCTTGATAGAGGTGGAGTGCTCCCTCCCCAGGGTAAAACTCCTCCCTGGGAGCCTCTGGACAGAAGCAGGAGTCTCAGTGTGCCAGAGAGGAGCAACTGTTCAAGAGGCAGAAGCCGATGCCTGTTGTGCTCTGAGCACCCCAGCCCCACACACAACTGTTTGAGCTTTCCCAGGGGTTTGTTTTGCACCCCCAATCCTGTGATAGCAAGAGAAGAATCTGCTACCTGCAGACAACATAACTTGCTCCATCCCACACCCAGGCCAGGTGAGATGTATGAGATGTGTCTCTGAGTCACTGAAAAAATGCTTCTATGCCACAGTTTCCTTGACTGTGAATCAAAGCTGCAGAAGTGCTGGGGCCAGGCAGGATGGGTACTTGTTGCCCACCAGGCTGGAGACACCCATGGAGCCAGGGAAGGAGGAATTTGGTCAAGGGGCTCCAGCACTGCTCCAGGCAGCTCTACCCAAAGACAGGAGCTGGGGCTGGATGTCGAGCAGAGAAGCCTTGCTGGTACCTGCCTTCCAGGGTGTGACTGAGATTAGGGGCAGTGGGAAAGGCTGGCAGTTGAGCAGGACTGGAGGTAAACGGATCAAGCAGCAATTGGCAGGCTCAGCAAGGGGAGGCTTAGCTCAACTCAGCACAGATTTGCTGCCTCCTGCCTTGGATCCTCTGGGGCTGGGGCAGAGCTGTGGGTGGAGCACCCTCAGCACATCACCCTCATCACACCACCTTGTGTCACCCCGCGGGGTTTCAGCAGCTCCACTGCTACTCTTCTGCACGTTCCTGCACCCCCCTGCGCCTGGGCAGGACGACTCCCTGCCCTGCAGCACTGCCGGTGAGTGCCTGGGATAGCTTTGGTGGCTCCAGGGATTTTGAGGATGCTCAAACCTGCTTCGTTTGGGGGTTTTCTTTGCATTATCCGGCACCGAAACCAGGCTGGCTGCTGGGAGCCGGGGTGCTCGGGACAGCTGGGTGCCTGTAATCCCATTTGCAGGCAGCGCAGGGCTAATCCCCGCAGAGCCCTGAGCGGATTGAGGCGGGTTTGGGGGGGTCAGTGGCGAGCTGAGGTGGCCAAGGGAGCCCACGCATCCCAGGGTGGCTTCCCAGGGAGGTGGTGGTGAGTCTGCGGGGGTAAGTGGCAGCGATGGAGGTGAGGGATGTGGCTGGGGCTTTTGCAGGACCACCTCTGCACATCACAGGGGGGGTTGGTGCTCCGAGGCAGAGCTGGAGGATGAGCTGTGTCGGGGGAGCGAGCAGGTCCATGGGGAGTGCTGTTGCAAAGGCAGTGGAGCTGGGTAATATGGAGGGTTTGATGGGCTGCTGGAGGGGCGGGAAAGGCCATGGTGGTCCCCACTCCAAATGGGAACAGTGGGTCTGCACCCCACTTGCTTTTGGAGATAAGACTAAGGCCCTTAGCTCGCTGGCACAAGCCCCATGGAGCTGCCACAACAGGTGGTGGCACTGATAGGTACCTGCAGCGCAGGGGGATGCATGAAACTGCCAGCTCTTCTGTGCCATTGCGGGCAAATCCTGGCTACTTATTCTATTTCTTCCAGCAGCTAGTTTTTTGGGGACCCACAGATGTTTCTGCCCCTTTCTTGTTCAGATATGTCAGAGGAATGGCCTCTGCCCTCCACTTTCCTTCCCAGACCAAGGACAGGCTTATGCTCCAGGCTTTTACAGCTTCACAAGCTTACCTCAAGGGAGGAGGGGATCCTGACTGTCAGGGGGGCTCGCTGAAGCCCTGGGGGGCTTTCTCTGGATTGTTTGGGCTCAGTGCTGTACACTGCCCCTGTGCTTCCTTGGGACCTGCGCCAAAGCATGGGTGGAAATGCCTCTGCTGTGTGGGGCTGCAGGGTTTTCCTTCCTGCTCCTGGGGCATTCACGTCTCCTTAATCCTTTACAACCAGTGGCTGGTAAAAGGCAATTTAATTGGTTTCTGGTTGTCTGGTTTTACAGCCACACTATCTAGTTTTGGGGATGTGGGGTTCTCTGGGAGAGCTGACCCTGTCTATGGTGTGCTGGGGGCTGGAGGTGCTGCTTCAGCTGCATCCAAACCCGGCTCCTTGACTTCCCAAGGTGTGGGCGAGCAAAGGGCTGAGGGCACACATCACCCTTCCTGGGAACCTTGGCCTGTTTAGATTTAAGGAGCCAGGCTTTGGACAGCCCCCTACGAGCCATGTTGAGGGAACTGAAGGTGTCCTGCACACCTAAAGGCTGCATTAATGCAAAGAGCCCAGCGCTGAGCCGCTTCCAACCTGTACCTGCTGCGTGTGGGACTGGGGTCATATGTGTACCTGGGATTGAAAGTCCCATGCTGTGTCCCAGCTGGGCTGGAAGGAGCTCAGGGATCTGCTTTCTTTTGCCCTTTGCAGGCATCATCTGCGAGCAGCAGCATAGGGACTGCCCGAGGTGCTCCCGGGCCCCTCATTGGGCAGTGTGGGGTGTCCTTGAAGGGGCATTTTGGGCAGAGCGTGGCTCTTTGGAAGGGCAGCAGCAGAAGACACTCCCAGGTTGAGCAGTGCCACGTTTCCCAAGCAGAACACCGAAACGAAGGACACCAAGGACCTCTTTGGGCTGCTCTGGAGACAGCGTGAGCAGCTGGTGCACCCGGTATTCCTTGGGGGGTTGCACCCCTGCTGCTGGCCTCTTGTAGGCTGGAGACCCCTCCTCACTGCCCGCAGGCAGCGGGATGATGGGCTGGATCAACCGGGTGGTTCCCCAGCCCCCGGTGCCCCCAGTGACGGAGGAGAGCCCGCGGGCCCCAGCACAGGAGCCAGAGCCAGTTAAGGTGAGCAGGGAGCCAATTTGGGGGGTAATGGGGACGCTGTGACCTATATGGAGAAATGCCTGTGCCTCTGCATCCATCCCCAGCTCTTTGGCACCCAGGGATGCTCTGCAGTATCCCCAGGAGGGATGGGGGCCGGGACACTTCCCTGCTCTGAGCTGCTGGGAAGCAGCAGGAAGGATGGGGAGTCCCTGGGGTTTGCAGCCACCTTTGAGCAGGGACAGTGTCCACCGTGCCTCACCCTCTGACTCTCTGACACCTTCTGCCTTTTACCCTGAAGGCACCAGCAGGAAAAGCCAGTGGCCCCACGGATGTTGCTGACCAGGCACGCACTGAGGGTAAGCCCCACACTGGCTCAGGCCACAGGTCATGTTCCTTTACCAACTGGTCCCCCTCCTGCTGGGGGCTGCCAGAGTGGTGACAGGAGCTTGCCTTTGTTTTTTTTCCCTGCTGCCATTGAAGAACTAGTAAAGAAAGTAGAATTTGTGATCCCTGAGGACACAGGTTCTATGTTTGAGAGGTATGGCTCTTGCACCCTCCAGTGTGCAACATGGTTTGCTTGGGATTTTGCTTTCTGTTGGGGGCTGGATGCCTGGGATGGCGTTCCCAGCCTGACTCGCTCCCTTCTCTGGCAGCATGGGGAGCAGTGTGCGCTTCTGGCTCTCCTATGGGATAAGGAGGGTGATTCCCCAGCCAGTTCCACCCCCAGGGACACTGCAGGTGCTCGGGAAGAGCTTTGAGACAAGCATTGATGTTCCTGATGAGGTAGGAGACAGATCTTAGCAGCGGTCTGGTGTATTTGGGCTTCTACATCTTTTTTTCCTTCCTGTCACTCTCCCAGTGCTAACTGGGAGCACTAAATGTGCCCTGCATTGTTTTCTGCCGTCATCTGTCCCTGGGGAAAGGGCAGAGTTCCCTCTCCACCCTAGGATGGATGGGTTCACCATAGGATGAGCCCCACCTTGGCTGTCGGGTGGGTGACAGTCTGTTTGGCTTTTCAGACAGAGGTCCAGGTCCTTCCGGAGGAGGACGACGGTCTTGGTAAGGAGAGCTGGGAGCTTGCAGTTTGCAACACCCTGGGGGCCTCTCTGGGACTCCCACACCCCACCTCCCTGACTGGTGATGCTAGCACCATTGTCCCCTTGAGCTGGCTGATGGGGGGACCTGAAGGTCCCAGCAGTGCAGGTCCCCCATGCCCACAGCAACGCTCTCCTTGCAGACATAATCCCCTTCGATCCAGAGGAGGATGGCTTCGAGGATGACTTGGATGCCCCCAGAGAGGAGTGGTGGGTCCCCAGCGAGGCTGGCAGGGGGCTGGGGGAGGACAGGAGGGCATGGGATGAGCTCCCTGAGCATGGCATTCTCCCCACAGGGTAGGAAAGCGGGTGCTCAGCTGGCTGTCACAGGGCTTTGAGAGGATTGTGCCGCAGCCGGAGGGGATGAAAAAGCTGGAGGTGAGCACTGCCCAGCTCAGGGAGACTGGGGGGCCACTGGGCAGAGGTTGACAGCAGGGTGGGCTCCTTGCCTTCATCCTCCTGCACACCCCAACTGAGACCTTGGGGAGGAAAACCCCAAAGGAATTCAGTAGAGCAAAAGAGAGACCTTGGGGTGCTGTCCCGTTGTTCTCAACCTGGCTGCATGCAGGGGGGACCTTCCAGTTGGGACCCGCTGGTGGCAACAACACTGGGTTCAATGGTTGTTGTCAGGGAAATGGGGCAAAACTGCAGCAGAGGATGTGTGGGGTTGAGAGTGTGGGTCTCCTTGGGGGGGGCACAGGCCCACACGGGGTGGTGTGAGGCTGCAGGCAGTGCTTTGCCACATCCATCCGTCCCTCTGTCTATCTGCAGACAGAGCAGAAGGATCAGAAGTGTGAAGCCACAGTGGAAGGTGAGCGATCCAATCCCCCTTCCCTGGGTGGCCCTTTCAGAGGAGACACTGTGCCTCTGAGAGCCCAGCTGCGGGTGCCCTTCATCTCCATGCCCAGGATTCCCACTGTGCTGAGAGGGGTGGGCACACGGGTCCTGGCATCACAGCACCACCCCTACATCACTTCTGTCCCCAGACTGCCCATGTCCTCAACCCAGGCTGGGCCCCCAGGGGAGAGGCTGCCAGGGAGGTACTCCAGGCCTGTCCCTCTGTGGGAGGTGACCCTTCCTTGCTTGCTCTGCTTCCCAACAATTTATGACTGCTGCATTGCCTCATCCCCTTTCTTCTTCCGAATAAACCTGAGCAGGCACAAAAAGGACTGAAACGACGGCAAAGCCAAAACCCCACCTTTCAGCTGCCATGAGCACCTCAGTGGCAGAGACACCAGCAACTGCCACGGAGCAGCCAGAGCCAGTGACCACCCTCACCACTCAGTCCGTGGCTCTGGATGGCCTCAGGTAACCACAGGGCAATTTCTGCCTGGGTCTGGTGGCCAGAAGGTTGGCTGATGTGGGAGCAAAGGTTCTGGCTGCCAGTTCTAACACTGGTTTCTTGTCACCAGGATGTTCATCTGGTTTGTCCAGAAGCTGGAGACGGTGCTGCCACAACCAGTGACCAGGGGGAAGCAGGACACACAGGTATGCTGTCTGCTGGATAGGCAAAGAGCATAGAAACACCATGTCCCTGGTGGGGAGGGTGTCCCTTGCAATGCAGAAGCTACTAGATCAGTGCTGGGGCCTGGTGTGGTTTGGGCTGTCACCCAGCTCCTTCAAGAAAACAAATGCCCATGACCTGCTTAGCTGATGAAAACCAGGATTTGGCTTCTAAGCAGCACGAGAGCCTGCAGCATGTTTTCTTTACCATTTCCTTGCCTTTCTGTGCAGTACTACTGGGTGGTGTCCAGGCCCTGGCACCTCACCCAAGTACAGTCTCAGTTCTAAGGATAAACAGCAGCAGCAGGTTTACATGCTCTCCTTTCCTGCTCTTGCCCCCAGGCGAGCTCACCAGTGTGCTCTGCCCCATATTATCCCGTGTGTCCACTGCCAAGCCATCCAACTTGACATGAGAAATCACGTGGGGTATTTAGGGAAATAGGGCCACTTTTACTGCAAGTGGGTATTTAGGTTAGAAATTACTGAAAATGGACAATGAGTCATGTTTCCCTTTTCCTCCTGGCAGGGAGTGGCCTCAGCAACCTTGAGTCCCGTGGAACAAAGTAAGTGGTGGCTCCATCTCACTGTGAGTTTGATTGTTGAGCTTATCAGAAAGGTTATTGGGAAGAGGGGTCACTATCATCTTTTATCCCCTGATCTGCCCTGGGTGCCAGCTTGGGAGCCCTTGGAATCCCCTGGGAAAGCCATGGGAGGCTGTTGATGCTTGAGAAATGGGAGCGGCTGTGGAGTTGTGGCAGGGATTTGGTAAAGCTCAGGGTTTATGGGAATCTCTAAGTGCAGCATCCAACCATCCTCAGGTCCCAGGTTTTGAAGTTAGTGCTGATCTCAAGATCTGTCCTCGAGCTGTGCTGGAGGATGTTTGCTGAGCTGGTGGGATTTGATCAAAGGGAATTCAGACCTGCTGCCTTCTTTCCCTCCTCTGGCATGCTCGCTGCTAAAGCTGGAATGTGTTTGCCAAGCCTGGTGAGAGTTGTCTAGGAAGGTACTTCAGGGAAACAAAATCCTGGGATTAGGTGTGTTAGATATGAGTCTGCATGGTTGTGGGAAAACTTGTTCACACTGCTTCTTGCCTGCCTGTGGAGGGGATCAAGCACCGGCTCTGCAGGCAGTCGGGCTTGGCTTCCCCCGCCAGCCACACTGGGGGATACTGGACAAAATGGCAGAGCCACTCTGGATGCCTCTCTGGATGGACTGGGCAGGGTTGCACAGCCCCATGCAAGTGCTGTCCCTTACAAGGAGTGACTGGTTGGGCTGGGGGAGCTGCTGACGGGAGCAGGGACCCGCTGAGGCACACGGAAGCTGCACATCCCCAGGAACATCCCCCAGGAACACGCCAGGAGGTCGCTCCTGCTGAGCCACCAACAGCTTGGCAGAACCTCAGAGAGTGAAATCCTGGGAAGGGGCATTTCTCCTGTGTTCATACAAACTGGAGACCTGTGCATTGCCATGGAGCTCTGAAAGAGGCAAAGCCAGGGATGTGCTGGGCAGGCACAGCCTTGGTGCACAGCCGGCTTTGGTGCCTTGAGGCATCTCCAGGTCACTTAATTGGGTTGAGCAAGAGATCTGCCCTGGCCCCAGACTGCCAGCACGCTCATTAATGTTTTCCTTCTCCTTTTGTTTCAGGGGGCAAAGGGGCTTAGCGCCTCTGAAACAAACGGAAAACGAAGACCATGGCAAACCAGCCCTTCCCACACCCAAATGAGACCAACCTGAGGAGAAAGTGCAGCTGGGGAGGAAAAGCAATGGGGAATTTGCAAAATAGTCTCTAGCTCCTTCCCAGTTGGGGCAGTGGGGACCCAAGCCTGGCACAGAGATGCCAGCTGCATGTCCCCAGTCCCAGGGCTGTCCCACTTGGCTCCCTCTTTTCTCTGGGAATTGGAGCTATTAGTTTTGCAGGACAATGTCTATGAAATGAGAGCTACAATTTACAGGATGGTAGAAAAGCATCACTCAGGACACCTCGGTGGCAGAAAGCCTCTTGCTGCAGTCTCCCAGCACTCCTGGCTCTCTCAATGCTCCCCTAAAATCTGAGACCTCCAGCTGAAACCCACAGGTTTCTTTGAGTCAACTTCTGCCTCTGAGGTGTAATGTTATAAAGCTCTTGAAGCTCTTGTCAGCTCCTTATTGCTTTTCTTCCACTAACTGAGTGTTTTCTCCCAGCAAGTGGAAAGGGTTCTGGTTTGCAGCAGCAAATCAGATGGGTGAGGTTAATCTCTAGGTGAATAGGTAGGACTTAATGGTTAAAAACCTTTGCCCAGACTCTCCTTCTAAGAGAACTTACCCCAAACTCTCCTTACCCCCAACAACAGCTGCTCCCTCCTGAAGCTCACAGCTCCTTGGATGCAGCATTAACCACAGTGGCAGGAGTGTCTTGGCAGGGAAGGGATCCCAGGAGCTGTCTCCAGCCTGGAGGAGTGCAGGCGGGCACAGCCAGTGCAGGCACACTGGGCTCGATGGGCTGAGAACCCCTACACCCCCAGTGTTGGGTACAGACCTTGGAATCTCAGACTAGGGACCTTTGTGAGGGACCTTTGAATATGATCTGGTCCAACTCCCCTGATTCCCCAACACCTTCCACTGACTTTGGTAAAAAGTCTTTCTCCATCTCTTGTATAAGCCCCCTGATGTATTGACAGGCTGGGCTAAGATCTCCCACCATCTCGTTGCAAGTCTTTAGGCCCATCTAGGCAACCAATAATGATGAGTCGTGAGCCAAGAGACCACCCTGAGATCCATCCCCTGCTTGTACCAGGCCACAATTTTAGTATTTGCCCCATTTTCATATAATGTATGCAAAAGCCATGGTGTGTTTTAAAAGCCACCTCCCTGCTTGCTGTCCCATGTTTTAATTAACAGAGATCTAGAGGGAATATCATGGACACCTTGAGGTGGGTGAATACAGCACTGGTACAAGCGTGCCTGGGTTTCCTGCCTTTCTGTAGTTGAATTTGCATGTTTCCTTTCAGCTTCACTGTGGACATGTGAGTTTTGTTGTCAGGCAGACATCAAAATAAACTTATTTTACAGTAAGTGGATGTGCTTCCTCCTCCTGTTTCTCTGGTGTGTGCCTGACGTGGTAGGATGGGTACCCCTGGGACACAGAGAGGGCTCAACATGGGTCAGACCTGCACTCCTCACCCTGCAGCTGCTGCACAGCTCCCCAGAAACCTGCCATGGATTTGGGCTGGCATCACCCCACTAACCCACCATGGGTTTTTCCCCACTGATGCCGGGCAGTGGCAGCGTGCATGGGATGCTCCCTACACCGTGGCCAGGGGAGTGTTTGGAGCAGGCATGGTGTGGTGCTTGGGTGTTGCAATGTGGGCTCTGGGTTGGGTTTTGCTCTGCAGATCCAGGGCCCTTGGGCTGTGCCAGGGCAGCACTTTGCTGGGAGTTCACAAAGGGAGGGCTTTGGGCTCTTCCCTTGGCTGCTCCTGACTGCAAGGAGAGACAAAATGTGGCCTGGAAATGGGTCAGATCGCTGCTGGTGGAGGTGGCTACACAGGCAGGGAAGCCAGCAGTCATCTGTGTGCAGAAGGTTAAAGCTTTCATAGAATCACAGAATGGTTGGGGTTGGAAGGGACCTTAAATTCATCCAGTGTTAACCCCCCTGCTGTGGGCAGAGTCACTTTGCACGAGACCAGGTTGCTCAAGGGCTTCACAGGGCTTTGGCTGTGCTTGGCACAAAATGGTGAATTTTCTTTTTCCTTCTGGCAAAGGGCCCAAGGCATCTGCCTTTCATAGAATCACAGCTTAAATTCATCCAGTGGGTGGGCAGAGTCACTTTGCACGAGACCAGGTTGCTCAAGGGCTTCACAGGGCTTTGGCTGTGCTTGGCACAAAATGGTGAATTTTCTTTTTCCTTCTGGCAAAGGGCCCAAGGCATCTGCCCAGCACAGCTTGGGGTCACCAGGGCTGCCCAAATCTGTGCAGGCTGAGAGCTGCTTCAGCACTGCAGCATCAAGCAGATGAAACACAGGATCTGTCCTGGCCCTACATCTGACCCCTTGAGAACATGCTCTCACACTCTCACTTCATCACCTCCCTTTCCCCATTCCAATTTCAGTTCATATACCCCCTGGGGAACCCGAGGAGACCCACCTCATCCTGGAAGAGATCACTGATGACCAGGTTAATGAAGACACATGTGAGATGATGGCCTGGAGTCACAAGGCTGAGCCAGAGGCAGATGCTCGTTCCCTTCCCCCCATACAGGAGGAACCTCAGGAAGAAGAAGAAAACAGGTAGGAGAAGGAAGATGCTGTTGATGGGGGGCTCTACATGTTCTCCAGTCACCAGTGTGGTGGCCATGGGAGGGGACAAGCATGTCCCCAGGCATCCCTCCTTGCCAGCACTGGTGGTGGAGCTGGCAACTGAGGTGCCTGTTTTGGAAGAGGGGGGCATCCACCAGAAGAACCCAAAAGGTGTTTCAGCAAATGTCCTTTGCTTCTGGTGTTGAGGTTTGGGTTGGGGCAGGTGGTGGCAGAGCCATCAGTGCAATGCTCACAGTGCCCTGCAAAGGACAGCTGAGGGAGGCTCTGCTTCGGCTCCTGTAAGGTTTTGGCCCTAAAAGCAAGAGGGTTTGGATCTTGTTCCCAGCAGTTGCACGTTCAGCTGTAATGACATTCAGAAATAGGAGTTGTCTCTGTAGAATTCACTCTACTTCTCCCAAAAGAAACGCCTGCTGAGGTTCTCCCAAGGGCTGGGCAGTGTGTTCAGAGCCAGAAGCAGGCTGTGCTGCAGCAGGGGGATGAGAGGTGCCCATGCACACTCACAAAGGGTTTCTGAGACCCCCAAAATGCTCCCTGAGCCCAGCATGGGCTAACACAGCGGTCCCCACCTCCCAACACTGGCAATACTCAACTGCACTAAGCACAAGCAATGCCCTGAACCGCACTGGCTCAGCAGAGGTCTCTCCTGCTCAACCAGAAAACACTGGGCATGCTATAAAAATATTTTTCAGATTTTTTTGCCCCTTACTACAGAAGCTGTGAGAAGCTGTGGGCAGCAAGCACAGCCTGTCCTGGGGGCTGGATTTCATTAACCGGAGGTTTTGGTCAAAATCAGCAACCAGTGACCCTTAAGCACACCCTCTTCCCATGCAGCAAGGGGAATCTGAAGGCTCAAGGACTCTGGTTTTGGGTTCCCAAACTCTTTCCCACTCTCCTTCCCACCTGCTTGGAGCTGTAGACACTAATGGGATGTGGAACAGTGTATGCCCAGTATGTCCCAGCATATCCAACCCCTCTGGGAGGTTGGCTGGGGGATGGAGGGAGAGCATCTCTGGCCAAAGGGGTTGGGGAGACCGGCAGGGCTCCTCATGTGAGGTTCAGACATACTTTGTGGATTTTACTTAATGAGTTTCTCCTTCCCAGACTGTGGTTGAGCTCCCCAAGCACTACCAAGGAGGAAAAGGAGGGGGAAAAGAAGGAGGAGGAAGAGAAGGAAAAATGGGAGGAGGAAGAGAAGGAGCAGGAGGAAGAGAAGAAAAAATGGGAGGAGGAAGAGAAAGAGCAGGAGGAAGAGAAGGAGGAGGAGGAGGAAGAGAATAAGAAGGCAGAGGAGAAGAAGGTGGAGGAAGAGAAGAAGGAGGAGGAAGAGAAGAAGGAGGAGGAGGAGAAGAAGGTGGAGGAGGAAAAGAAGGAGGAGGAGGAGAAGAAGGTGGAGGAAGAGAAGGAGGAGGAGGAGAAGAAGAAGGAAGAGAAGAAGAAGGAGGAAGAGAAGAAGAAGGAGGAAAAGAAGAAGGAGGAGAAGAAGAAGAAGGAGAAGAAGAAGGAGAAGAAGAGAAAGAAAGAGGGGGAGAACAGGAAAGAGGAGAAGAGGAAAGAGGAAAAGAGGAAAGAGGAGGAGGAGGAGAGTGCAGAGTGAGTGTCTCCTGTTGCTTTAATGGCTTTGTTGGAAAGGAGCGTGAACGCAGCTGTTGTTTCAACTGCGTTCACAAGCCAGAGAGGCTGAAACACCCATGGACGAGCGAGCTCCTCCTGGCAGAGCGGAACTCCCAGCCTGGCTGGCAGCTGTGCTGTGCTGCGCTGGGGAGGGATGCGTGCGGGAGGGATGCATTCGGGAGGGATGGGTGAGAAGGGAGCGATGCTTTTGCAAACCGGCTCATCCCAGGGCTCGCTGCTGACGCGGCACCTGGCGACAGGCGAGAGTCTCCTGGTGACACGGGCTCCATCTCCGCCGAGGCCGCCCGTGGCAACCGCGGGCCCCGGCCATCCCCCCGCGGGTCCGGCGGCTCGGCTTGAGCCTTCATCGGGGGGCGGGAGCGCCCAGCTCCGGGAGAGGCTCCATGCTATTTAAACCCACATCCATCAATTCAGGGCAGTCGGAATTGTTATGGGTGCCACAGAGCTGAATGTAAAGAGAGGATTATGTGTTCTGCCTGGAAATACTGCTTAATGCAAGTAGGTACAATTTTACATTTTTTCCTATTGTAGAGAATACACGAGTTCTTGTCAGGCAGGTAGTGACTTTGGTCTAGGTGGTGTTGAGAGACATCTTTCTGCTTAGTTAGGTAGTTTGCTTGGATTTCGCATGAGATAAACATTTAGGGATTTATTACCTGGTGCTACAATATTATTCTCTGTTAATTCCTCTAAAGTAGCCAGATTTTCAGGAAGAAGCTGAAAACGCTCGATTATCCACTACCAAACCCATATGTTTGTATTTCATCAAAATCTGTTCCTGGAGCTTCACTATAGAAACTTGAGCTTCAGTTGTGGGGTGAATGAGATGATGCTTCATATTTCAATGTTTGTTTATTGGGAAACAAGAGGGAAACCAACAGGTTTTCTAAATAAGGATGGAAGGACTTACAATTGTGTTTAAAGGGAGCATAATTAAAATAAAAAAGGGGGGGAATTATTAAAAATACTTTTAAAAATACCTTGGAAAACAATAGGTTTTGAAGACATGGAGGTAAAAGAGAAAGAGCAACCACTGCTTGTGACATACCTCTTCTGACTTTGCACCTGCCAAGGATACAGAAAGATGGTTTCTCGATTTTCATGCATTTAGCTGTCTTAAAATTTTTCTCATTGTCACCTATCCCTGCTTTGCATTCCTTTCCAGGAAAGAGCAAATCAGGAGATAAGTGCACAGAGCCACATGTGAAGTGCTTTTTTTCAGTTATAGGCTATAGTAAAGCAATAAATTTGATCTTGTGAGCCCCTTTGTCAGAATGGTGGAGCTGAGGTCTGCACTTGCTGCTGAAAGAAAATGAGAATTATGTGTCCTGGTAGAGCCTTGCACAGGCAAACGTGGGATTTGGATGGTGCTTTTGGGAAAGCCCTACCTGGAAATTAGGCTCTGGGCTTTTTATTTGGCAAATTTTAATTATATGAGAAATGATTATGCACAGGAGGAGAAACATGCTGCTTGCATCTTTCTGCCTCTGCAATTTTAGCTTGTGCACATGCAATGCCCTGCTTTGTCTATGCACCTCTCACCTGGTCTCCTACACAGTATTTTTTCTCTCCCTCCCAGGTCCCTGCTCTCTTCTCTCCCAACTACCAATGGTGTGGATGAATCCTACATTGCCGAGGAGGCCCTCAAGTTTGAGCAGCAGGCAGTAGCTGAGATAAGTAACCTCGAAGGTGCTCTTGTACAGGTATGGCATCTCTCCCTGCCTGGGCTCAGGTCTGCAATGAGCTCTTGCTGCCCAGTGAGTACCAGGGGCTCAGAGCTTGTCCAGGGGGATGCAGTGCCCTGGGAGGAGCAGGGACTGGGCTGGGCACTGGACATGTTTCCCACCAAGATGTCCCCATCCCTGAAGCTGAGCCAGCAGCATTAGCTGTGGATGGAGGGAGGGCTGTTTCACCCTACAAAGTTGTCACTGAACAAGGAGCTGAGAGTCTGGCAAATAGGGGCAATATGGGGAATCCAGTCAAGCTGCAAAATCTGCTTTTTACTGACAGAGTAGGGCTTTTTCTCCTTAAAACGGCTTTTTTCATTTTGAAGGTGGAAGAGAAGACAGCTGAAGCTGCTGAAACCAATGCTGAAGGTATAACATGTAGCAGTATAACACCAAACGGGGACGAATCAAAGTAGGCAATGTGGTGCCTCATGGGAGGAGAATCCAGCTTCTCCTTCCCTGCTGTTGGGGAGCAGGCAGCTGAGTTCTCTGCAGCATGGGCCTGCATGGGCAGTTGGGGCTTTTCACTGGGGTAAAGCATCCCGTGGGCACAGCATCCCGAGGGTGCAGCATGGTGGCAACATTGGCATGGGCTGGAGCCAGCTCTGAATGGCTGGTGCTTGTGCAGTGCTGAGTCCTGCTGACGTGAAATTAGGGTTTCTCCTTCAGCTGGAGAAAGTACAGGGATAAAAAGGATTTTCTCTACCACTTTGATTTGGGGAATAACAGGTGGCATAAAGCACATTTTAATGTAGCCTTTTAGGAAGCAATGGGTTGGCAATGAAAATTAGATGGTGAACTCCCATCACAGCCTGAGCGAGCAAAGGCAGGTCCCGGAATAACTGCACTGATGTCAGGGAGTTGCACAGGGAAGGGCTTGCCTTGAGTCTTGGTGCAGGCTGATGCAGACCATGCAGGGCACCCCCATTTTGCAGCAGTGCTAGAAAATGCTGCTTCATCAGGAACTGCAGTGATAGAACAAGGAGTAATGGGTAAAAATTGAAGGAGGGGAAATTTAAGTTAGACAAAAGGAAGAAATTCTTTATTGTGAGGGTGATGAGATACCGGAACAGGGAGGTTGTGGATGGCAGTGTTCAAGGCCAGGTTGGATAAGGCCTCGGGCAACCTGGTCTAGTGGGAGGTGTCCCTGCCCATGGCAGGGGAGGATGGGACTAGATGACCTCCAAGGTCATTCCAACCCTTAACATTCTGTGATTCTACGAAAAGGGCACAGTAGGACGGCCACCACTGCAGCCCTGTGCTGCCAACACCTGTGAGCAGCGGGGCAGCCCCAGCGCCCGCGGCAGCCCCGCGTTTTTTTTAACCGCGACGTAAAACCACTCAAAACCACTCTGTGTTTTGTTGCAGCTTCAGACGCCTTGTACTTTGCTTGAAGCACCTAGGCTCCTAGCAGCATGGCCAGGCGGGCCCGGGACGTCGAGCTAGACCGGCTGGTGCATGACAAGCCGCTCGATGGCGGGGAGCCCTCCCCTGCCAGCCGTGGGGCCCTAGAGCTGCTCCCCAATGTCCCCAGCTACCGAGCCGCCGCCTCCCGCGCCCCCGTCCCTGCCGCCAGCAGGCCAAAGGCCGGAGTTGTCAACCCCAATTTTTGCCATGAGGAGCAATCCCCTCTAGGTATTAGAGATGAGTTGGCTTTGACGACGGGCTTTGCATAGAGACGGGCAGGGGGTGACTCCCGGAGTAGTCGCTTTTTGTTGCTTTCGGAGGGAGAAAAAAAAAAAATAAAAATAAAAGCATGCTTCATGTTGCAGCACAGAGGCTGGGGGAAAAAAAAATCCATGTGTTTTCTGCTTCTGCTTCATCACTATGTGCCTTTTTAGCTAACTCTATAGAGTGTTTGCAAATGCTGTGTGTTTTGACCTTCTCTGTCAAAAGCTCTCCCGAAGGACCTGCAGGCAGAGGGTGCAATATCACCACACACACTGTTTTCTCTCTAGCATTCATGCAACCTGCTCATACTACGAGGACAGGAAGGTGGAGGCTTGCTGTTCATGGCTTTCTGCCTTTTCTGCAGCTTTGCTTTGCTTTGTTTTTCACCAGCAAGCCAAATTCTGCTGCTTTTCCTTACATGCAACAGGATTTTAACTTTGCAACCCGAACAGGCAGATTTCTCGGGGATTTAATCAATCCACGCTCTGATCCACTAGTTCCACATCAGCATGAAACAGGAGGGGGTGCACAGGGTCTTTCAGATGTGTGAAAACCTCCCACAGAAGAAATCCTGCAGGAACTCATTGTATTTTGTTAAATGGCTAAGAAAAGAGATGACACTTCACGGCCAAGCCGACTGTGGGGCCTGGCCAAGGCAACTCGCAGCACCATTTCTTCTTTGGACAACTGGAATCTTTCTTTACCCACTAAAAACATCCAACCCTCCTGCTTCTAACCCTGCCTGTGGTAGGAAGCAGTTATTACCTCTGCAAAAGAGAGAAGCCATAAATATTTATTGAAATAGTGCCTTATTCTGCATGAAAAGCAAGTGCTGTGCGATTTGGAGCTGTCATGATCCACATGTTTATGTTCAGAAGACCCAAGAGAATTTTTAGACCCTGGGAGGCAAGTTTGCACTTGGAAATCCTGTGTCCCTGCATAACACCCATAGCTGGGAATCCTAATCTCCATTATTCTCCAAACCATGGGAACCCAACACCCAGATGGAGTAGATGAAATCACTGCAATCTGGGCATGCAGAAGGGAAGCAGGTGGCTGTTCTTAAAGTGTTAAAAACTGGGGAAAAAAAAAAAAAAAGAGAAAGAAATGCTCCAAACAGTTAGGAGAAAGGAGTGCCAGGCGAGAAGGGAATGGAGGGAGAAGGAGAGTCCTCCCAGCACACTGCAAGGTCTGGGGGCAGCACTGTGGCAGCGATGGGGTTTGGGGAGCCATCCCGGCTGCAGGCAGGGCTCTGCACCCCCCTCACCTGCAACTATTGTCCTTCCCCACGGAGCAGGTAATTACCCCACCGTGGAGATCAAGGATGTGGACAGCCGAGGCGATGCTGCAGAGGACGATGGTACCCACTTGCCGGTGCCCGCTGCCAGCGCTCCCAACAGGCTGGCGGTGCCCGGCGCAGCATCCCCCAGGTATGGCTCTGCCCAGACGCGGTCCCGGCCCCGGGGGTCTCACCCCCTGGTGGTGCCAGTACAGGAAGATTTCTGTAACCACAGGGAGCAGCCCATTTCCAGCAGGTTTGGACAGTGAGCCAGGGTGATGTGTGTGGGGCAGGAGTCGCCCCTGTGCACGGCAGAGGAGATGGCAAAAGCCTCACCTGCTGTTTGCATTTTTTTAATTAAGTGGTTAAATTTTGTTTTAGGTTTTTAAGGACCAGGGACAGCCCTGTCTGTGTGTCCTCCTGGAGATGGGCTTGATCCCCAGGCCATGATTGGATCCCGTTTGTCTGTTGTCTCAAGTGTCTGTGCTCCCAAATTCAGAGCGTGGGGAGTCTGTGTGCTGGATCTGGGCCTTCATCACAAACCCTATAATTTTCTTGTATTTTTGCTGAAAGGGTTTGCAGCATCTCCCCCTGGGTTTGTGCTTTCAGATGGATGGCAGATGCCCCGTTCCTTGAAGTGTTCAAGGCCAGGTTGGATGGGGCTTTGAGCAACCTGATCTAGTGGAAGGTGTCCCTGCCTGTCACAGGGGGTTGGACTTTTAAGATCCCTTCCAAAACATTCAGTGATTCCATTCTCAGAGGGATTAAAACTGAGCTTTAAAATTTAGGCTGGAGGAAGCTGATGCTTTTTTGTCTGTTGTTGGGGTGGGTTTTTTCGAAGTTCGTTCTTGCAGAGGATTAAAATTCAAAACCAAAGTGGTTTTTTCCATGCTGAAAATCAGGTGCTATAGTCATTCTCACTTAATAGTTTAGATCTTTTAATGAACAAGCTCCTGGAGGACCAAATGAAATGGCAAAAATGTCCATAATCCAGCCTGTTGAACAGCTTTTCAAACTGGGAAAGAAGAGCCCCAAGGCTTCATGTACAATCCCTGCAGTGCAAATACTGACAGCATTGAGTATATTTGCAGTTACACATGTGAGCATATAAACCTTTCTGCTGTGTCTCCAGGGACTGTCTCAAAACAACACTAGAGGAGGTCCCTTGGTAGAGCTGGAGATTTTTAAAGGCAAGCAACTGCCATTCTCCTACACAAAAAAATAAAATTTAATCATTCTGAACCAGAAGAAAAATGCTCCTCTCCTGCTGGTTTTTCCAGAGTAAGAGGACATCAGTTCTTCATTGAGCAGTCACCCAGTTATCCCTAAGTCACTTCTATTGGCCACAGTCTTGAGTTATTTCCTACATGGGTCTGTGAAGGATTAGAGTGAACGTGGTTTGGACAGAGTCATAAAAGACTCACCGTTAATGAGCCACACGTTGTGTAACTGGAGCCTCAAAACAGGCTGTTGCAGACAGTAAATACCAGGATATTCCAGCTGATCCCATATGGGCAGGGACCCTGCGCGTCCCACACGTCCAGGCAGGCACAGGACAGCCGGATGCCGATGGCCTCTGGCTGCAGCATTCCAAGGGCCACAAAAACAGAGCAATGTTTAGGCTGTGACGGGGCCTTCTGTCCCAGCTGGCTGTGCAGTGGATGGCTGTGTGTGGGCCAGGTGCTGTAGAGTCTCCCTGACAGAGCAAGAGACTATCAGTGTGTGCATCCTGGGCTTGATCAGGGATGAGGACAGGCCAGTGGGGCAGCATGGTACCCTGAGGGCACAGAGGCAAGGGAAGGGCAGCTGGAGGCTGGTGAGAGGTGATGGATGTTGTCCTAACAACGATACAGACCCTGGCAGGACTATTTCTCCAAGCAGGGTTTTGGAAACCTCTCCACTGACATATGAGAATACTTTAACAGTGGGGCTGATGGTTTTGTTCCACCCCCCGTGCTGTGCACTTGGGGAATGAAAGTTTATGAGTCTTGTTTACCTGCTCTCCCTCCCAACAGGACACACCTGAGAGCCAGTGAGGCTGGAGGTGGTGGGCTCACAGCATTTGGCATTCTTCAAGAGACTTGTGATGGCAGGACAACCTCCCTGCAAGTGTCCTGCTTGCTCCTGCTCCACATGCAGCACTGAGCCATTTTGTACCAGGGCCAGTGGGATCAGCAGCTGTGGGGGCAGGAGACCATTTCTTTGTTCCAGTTGAAATGCTGGGCTTGGTGAAGGTTTGCAAACCAGTCCAGGTTTTGTTGTGATAGCCATTTCCATATTCAGCTCTCCTTCTGCCACTTTGCTTGCCCACATGTAAGGAAGTTGTCTCAGAAAACCATCTGTGCCAAGGGGAGCCACCAGCTGTGTTAGGACACATCTTATAGGTATTCCTGGTATTGGACTTTCCTTGCCTGCCTCTCGAAGTGCAGTGATGTGACAGTGCAGCACTGGGGACAAGCACAGAGTAGTGCCTGCCCTCTATACATCTTGCCAGGTGTCCCAAACGGGTTCCAAAGTGGGCTGGGTGGCTGTATGCCTATGGAGCCAAGGGCTCAGTGGTGCCTGGGAAGAAACATAGCTTTAGCAGCAAAGGAACAGGGGAAAACTGACCCTAGCAGGGGAAGGGGAAAACAGATGACCCCTGGGAGGAGGAGGAGGAGGGAGAAGAGCTGGATGAGGATGGGAGACAAGCTGATCCTCGGTCACTGTGTTTGTGTCTGCAGGAGGAGGCGACTGGTCCCAGAGGATGGTCTGGACGAGGGACTGGTGAGCTGGGACGAGGAGCAGAGGGAAAGGTGCGTGGTGGGACCTGGGGGCTCCAGATCAGCTGAGTTCCAGGGGTTTGGATCCTGGGACTTAGGTGAAAATAACAAAGATCCTACAAGCGCTGGGATACCAAAGGGAGAGGGAGCCATGCCCGCAGTGGTTCTAGTGCTGCTTAATGAGGAAAGCACCCCCTCTCCAAAAATGATGATCGTGATGCTCACTGGAGCAGAAACTGTTCTGTTGTTTTTCCTGTATACATGTAGAAATATTCTCTTTAAGACTAGGTGTAACTGCAGAGAAAATGTACCTTTGATCTACATATGCTATAGCGCTGTGGGGACACCTTGTTTTTACTGACTGTGGAGAAATGACCCTTTTCTTCCGTGCAGAAAGTGAGCAAAAGCTGTGCATCACACACCCCAGGCCCTGGCTTCCCCACAGCCCCAGGGACAGCCTTGGACGGAGCTGCCCTCCCTGGGAGGCACAGTCCACAGGGAGCATGGTTTTGCCTTTTTCCAGTCATCACAACAAACCAGCCAGGGCTACAGCAAATGAGATTGTTTCTGTCCTCCCCCCTGCTGATGCTTCTCAGCCATGCTAAGCGAAGCATCCTGGTCTGAATCCAAACTGGTTCTAATGAAGAGGCTGAAAAGAGAAGATATAGTTTATAAATTCAGGGGCTTGATGCACATTTTCACCCCATAGTTCTTCCAAAATCATATTCTCCCAAGCACATGCAATCCAGCCTGGGATCTTGGTGCTTCCCAAGCTTTCTGACAGCATCTTGCATCCCAGGGAACAGATGAGGCTCAGGTTCGTGCTGCTCGATGATCTTTTACTGAAACCACCTTAGCTTGTGTTCTTCTCATTAGACAGTACCCAAACAAATATGGGTAAATCCTAATTCAGGTCCTGTGAGTTAAAGGATGGGCCATGGCCGTGGTTCGAGGCCAGGATGGATGGGGCTTGGAGAAACCTGGTCTACTGGAAGGTGTCCCTGCCCATGGCAGAGGGTTTGGAACGAGATGAGCTTTAAGGTCACTTCCAAGCCAAACCATTCCAGGATTCTGTGATTCTGTGAACCTGCCCTGGTGTTTTCCTGCCTGCATGAAGCGCCTGATGGTTTGCCTGCAGCCTGCCCGAGCGCATCGGCTCGGCCACGAGCCTGAGCAGTGCCATCATCAACACCCGGCTCCAGGAACTGGTGAAGCTCTTCAAAGAGAGGACCGAGAAGGTGAAAGAGAAGCTGATTGACCCCGATGTCACCTCGGATGACGAGAGCCCTGTGGCATGTGAGTTCCAGCAGGGCTGGGAGCGTTTTGCTGGTGGGTCCCCACGCACGCTGTGTTTTCCGGGAGACAGATGTTTTGTTTACAGTTTAAAGACCTTAAAACAAATTGCAGTAACAAGATTTTTTTTCTCCACTTTAACCTCTCCCAGCGCCCGCTAAGTCAGCGCCTGCAGCAGCACCGGTGCCTCCCCCGGGAGGGGAGGTGGAGGGGGACAAACCATCAGGGGATGACCACTACTGTGAGATGCTGTGCTGCACCTTCAAGTACCGGCCCTGGCTGGACCGCCTGAAAAGCCACCAGTTCCCCAGCAGCATCGACCCACTCACCAGTGAGTGATGGAGCACAGCCTCATGCCTGGGCTGGGGGCAAGCTGGTGGGACCAGGGGAGAGGGGCTGAGCAGGGGAGGAGGTGCAGGTGAGGAGATCTTATAGAGAGGAGACATTATAGAGAGGAGAAGAAAACTAAGCAAGAAGCAACTTAGCTTTCACTAAAGCCTAGAGTTTTAAACCCCGCTGCAAGGCATAGGCTTTCCTAAATATTTCCTGATAGCTGTGCGTGTCAGGAGCACAGACAGGCAGGGAAGGGACAGCCACCTTCTGCTTTCAGGCTTTTTAGTGGGAAAACCCTGTCCCTGTGGTGTGGATACCCCAAATAAAAATAAAAGTCACAAAAGAAATATCAGCTGCTTGATGGCCACTCCACAGGAGCCCCGCTCTTTCCTTAGCCTCCGCTATTCCCCATCCCTTTGGAAGCCCCTGGGCTCAGGCCATCAGTTTAACATGGCTGCAGGGGGAAAAGCAAAACAGGGAAGTCTGTGTTGTGGCAGCAAAGGAAAAGCAAACCTAGTTGAATGAGCAAAGCTGGAAGCTTCCCAACAAAACACGGTGTGCTCTGTGACTGGTGCTGTTCACTCTGCACCAGAGCCCAGCTCACCTGCGGCTAAATGCTGTCACCAAGAAACCTCCTGCAGGGTTCCAAGTTGTGCTCAGGGCAGGTCAGGGCATGAAAACCCTGGGATGTCTGCCCAGCTGATCGTGGTGCTGTTCCCTGTGTGCAGATCTGATGTATGTACTGTGGCTGTTCTTCGTTGTCATGGCCTGGAACTGGAACTGCTGGTTGATCCCCGTCCGCTGGGCTTTCCCCTACCAGACCCCAGCAAACATCCACTGCTGGCTGCTGGTGGACTACCTGTGCGACCTCATCTACCTGCTGGACATCCTCGTTTTCCAGACCCGGCTGCAGTTTGTCCAGGGGGGAGACATCATCGTGAGTGGCACACGCTGCATCCACCACTGCAGGGACCGGCTGGGGGGGCCTCCCATCCCCATCCCCATCCTCAGACCTCTGAGTTGAGCTCTCCAAGCTTTCCCACCAAGGCTGTGGACACTCTTGGAGTCTGCAAGCATCTCTCCTGACACGTGGTGGATAAGCCAGCTGTCTTTTTGTCTGCCAAACACATTATTTGTCCCCTAAAGGCAATACCAGCCCATCTAGAAAACTCATGGTCCGTGGCAGCCCCATTCCTGGGAAGGGATGCCAGGAGGGTGCTGCTCTGTGGGGTTGTTCTGCCCATGGTGTGAGGTTCTCACTCACCAGCCCTGGTGTGGTTGTGCCCGGCTAACCATGGGCATGGGCATAAAAAACTCTTGAGTTTGATTTTCAGGAGCAGGCTGGGCAGAATGCATTAGCAATTGCAATCTGAACACATAGATCACGTGCCTGAGAAGAGAGAAAACCCTTGATTTTGTTTCCAAATTCAGTTAATAAGCTGTGAAAAATCAAACCTTGAGGGTACAACCTTCCCATGGCCATGCAGATGCTCAGGCAGGCAGGTTCCTCCTCTAAACTCTGGTTTTTGTGAGATTGCCACTGTGATATGCTTTCTCTGGGATGCAAAACAAGCACAGGATGTCCCAAGATAGGATGGGAAGATGGCATATGGCCAGGTCTTCTGCTTGTCTTGTTCTGCTCCCGTTCCTGGAAATGAAGGGAAAATCTTCCCTGTTATGGTGCAGAAAGGGAAAACCAGGCATGAGTATGTTGGCCATGACTTTGCTTTCTGTAAGCAACGATCAATCTTCCTCTCTCTCTCTCTCCCCTTCCTGTTCCCAACCAGACTGATAAAAAGGCCATGAAAGAGAACTACCTGAGATCACAACGTTTTAAGGTTTGCCATACTTTTATTTATTAATCTGAATATTTAATCTGCCCCGTGGTTTGCAGCCCCATCCCAGTGCACCTGCAGGTCCCCTCAGAGGCTTCTCTTTGTGTGGATTTCAGATGGATGTGCTGTGCCTCCTGCCCCTGGATTTCTTCTACTTCAAAATTGGTGTCAACCCACTCCTGCGCTTCCCTCGATGTCTGAAGGTGAGTTGGAGTTTACAAAATCAGGCAGAAGAGCACCTACAGTGGATTTGGAGGAGTTCTGTGCTGCTGGGGTGAACTATGGCTTCCTAAACTCATTAATGATGACAAGAGGATTGTAAAATGTAAGGGAAGTCTTATCCCAAAGGCTTTGCAGGGCTGTTTGTCAAATCTTCATTTCAATCCTAAGCCATGCTCACATTTGAATAGAAGGGCACTTATAGATGGACCCAAATCTGTCCGTGGCAGCCTGTGCTGCAGGGGGGCAGCAAGAGGGAAGCAGAGGGGCAGTGGGGCTTTATGGGGAGGTGACTGTCCCAGTGGGGGCCGCAGGAAGCTGGAGCATGCTGCTTTCCTTCTCCTCCCAGTACATGGCCTTCTTCGAGTTCAACAACCGCCTGGAGGCCATCCTGACCAAGGCATACATCTACAGGTGAGGGGGGCCAAGGGAAGGAGGGAGTGTGGAGTTGCTGTTTGCCACTGGGGAGGAAGGTTCACTTTGGTGTGCACCAGTTCCGGGCTCCTGGTTTATTTTCCTGCCACCCCTGGGCTGGCTGATGTGGATGTTGGCTGATGAAGCAGCATGTGGGGCTCCCTGAGCCCATGTGGGTAGGATCATCTCTCTCACGGTTTTTTCTGTCTCTTCTAGAGCTGCAGGGCTGCAGGAGGGAGCAGCAGGGTGCATGTTTGGGTGCTCTGTGATTCCTGCAATGGCAGGACCTCTCGGTCATCATTTTGAGGCTCCTTGTGATGCTGGGGGTGGTAGTGGGGACATATTTCTCCCAGAAGACACTATATCATCTCCTTTTCTGCTCTCTCCTGATTCTTTTTGCAGAGTGATTCGAACAACTGCCTACTTACTGTACAGCTTGCATGTGAACTCCTGCCTCTACTACTGGGCCTCAGCCTATGAAGGACTGGGCTCTACCACCTGGGTCTATGACGGGGAAGGAAACAGGTACAAGCCAGGGCTTGGATCTTACACAGCACAGCCTGCTGGGATGAGCTGAAGTAATAAGGGAGGTGTTGGGGTGCAGCTGGATTCATAAAAACCCTGGAAGGAAAGGGTTGGGAGTGCCAGGAGAAGATGTGGAGCGTCCTTTGCTAACAATTTGTTCACAAACCCTTATTCTCCCCTGATGATTTCTGAAAGTGTAAATGTTGCTGAAAACACATTGCTGGTTTATGGCAGTGGCGCTGTAAGGAGCAGCCAGAGCAGCTGAGCCTCCTACATGGAGGTTTCTGGAGAATCTATAGGTCCCCCTGCTCCTGTAGCACCTCCAGAAACACCTGCAGGTGTGGTGGGGAGTCTGAAGCCCTTCAGTTTTTCCCTCTGTCACCCATAATTACTCTCAGCAGGCTCTGGCTTGCCATGGCCAGAGGATTTGAACTCAGTGCAGAGGGGTGAAACAGGCCTTCATGCCAGAAATGCCTTCAGAGCTGCCTCCTCTTTCCCTCCCAGCTACATCCGCTGCTACTACTGGGCAGTCAAAACCCTCATCACCATCGGGGGCCTGCCAGACCCCAAGACACTGTTTGAGATTGTCTTCCAGCTGCTGAACTACTTCACAGGCGTCTTTGCTTTCTCTGTCATGATAGGGCAGGTGAGTGGGAGTCGTGGAGGGTTCCCAGCCTCGGGTGGGGATGGTTGCAGTGTGGTTGATCAGCAGATTTGCATCTTCAGGTTTGTTTTTCCCATTTGAGGACCTGCTTGGCACTGGTGCAAGACAAAAAGTACTTGCTGGGTGCTGTTAGGGCTCGGTTTACACACTCTAGACTGCTCGAGTGATGGATAAGTGACAGCAACTAAAACTTTTCTTCCACCTCTTCCGTTCAGATGAGAGACGTGGTTGGCGCCGCTACTGCAGGGCAAACTTACTACAGGAGCTGCATGGACAGTACCATTAAATACATGAACTTCTACAAAATCCCCAGAACTGTTCAGAACCGGGTGAAAACGTGGTATGAGTACACGTGGCACTCGCAAGGCATGCTAGGTGAGACCCAGCCACTCCAAGGGCTGTGTTTTACTGTGGTTGTTTTGCAGGGCTGAAATGTTACTGTCAAATAGCACTGCAGTTTTGGGGTGTAGGGTGACTTATTTTGCTCTTCACTACTGGCTCACAGCACTTTGGTGACCTGGCATCACTCATAGCACACTGAGTGCAGTGTCCCACATGCTGGTCCCTGGGGAGAGGGCAGTGACTGGCAATCACTGGCCAGAATGTGTCCAGCAGCAAAGATACCAGCTCACCGTACCAGGCAGGACCAGGACCTCTATGCCCACCCTCCTGGGCAAGAAAGATGATGGCTTGGACTCAGTGGTGTGTCTCTGAGAGCCATCAGGGCAGGGATAACGTGAAGGGTGGTTCTCCATCGCCCCTTGGATTTAGACCTGCAGGTTGCTGGGTGGGCAGAGGCTGGAGGGGACCCTTCTGGGAGAGCTGGCTCCTGCCCTCTGCCACCGGAATGTGAGTTGCTTCCCTACTGCCACGTCAAGGACATGCTCTCATATCAAGAGCTGGAAACAGCCAGTTTTCTGCTTTGTCTCACAGATGAGTCAGAGCTGCTGGTGCAGCTGCCAGACAAGATGAGGCTGGACATCGCCATCGATGTGAACTACAACATCGTGAGCAAAGTGGCCCTTTTCCAGGTATCCCCTGCAGCACGGGTCCTGCCTGGCAGAGCCTGCCATGCTGACACAGACTTACACCATGTTGGCTCTATTTTGGCCCAGGGTTGTGACAGACAGATGATCTTTGACATGCTGAAGCGGCTCAGATCAGTGGTCTACCTGCCTAATGACTACGTGTGCAAGAAGGTAATGTGACATGTGATGCTTGGGTGCCCTCCCATGCCCGGTGTTACAGCCAGGCTGTGCAGGGCACTAGGGGAAAGCCAGGCCTGGCCCATCACCCTGGTGTTGAGCCACTTCACAGGGAGGGAATTTGGAGCAAAATCATCCTTGGTTGCAGCCATTAACAGCAGGAGACCAGGGAAGAGCCTGTCGAGCTGCAGGAGACCTTGGGGTGCTTAGATGGTGCTCGGGAGTAAAAACCATCAAGACAAAGAATTTTGGGAGCTTGGAGAGGGCAGTATGGTCATGGGAGTTTCCAGCAAGATGCTGGTTAGGGCATCCATGAGGCCTCCCTGTTTCTGGGCATCCCCCCCAGCACCCCTCTTCCCTGCAGGGAGAAATAGGCCGTGAGATGTACATTATCCAGGCGGGACAAGTGCAGGTGCTGGGGGGACCCGACGGCAAATCCGTACTGGTGACTCTGAAAGCTGGATCCGTGTTTGGAGAAATAAGGTGAGAGAAGCATTTTCAGGGAAATACACTCGTGGGCTCTGGGAGAGGAAGGTGGGAAGTGGAAGGATCACCAGCATCCCAATTATCTTTGTGATTGAGAGCCATGAACACTGGGCAGCGGCTGAGACACAGATTACAGGGTTTTTCGTTGGAGCTTTTCTGCTGTTTTTGTCATCATGTTGTTTTTGGCATGGGGAGCTGGTGATGTTAAGCAGAGGTAAATGGATGGAGGGGTGAGAAAATGAATAAGAAAAGATGCTTCACAAAAACAGTCTCACAACCATTTAATCCACCCATTTCATGGGCATGCAATGTCCTGTACCAGTCTGTAACACAGGGATGCTGCTGCCTCCCTACAGCCCAGCAGCCACTGGACTGGTGTAAAACGCAACATTCAACCCTCCAAACCCCCAAATCATTTTTTATATAGTGCAGTATGCAAATTTCCTTCAAAAATTAGATATGGGAAATTCCATCGGGAGTGAAAATTACGCTCTGAGTCCTCCGAAAGAGAGAAATGGAGGCATGCAAAAGGAGACCTGAAGTTGTGCTGAGCCTGTGAACAGAAGCACTGACGTCTTGCCGTGTCTCTCTCAGCTTGCTGGCGGCAGGAGGGGGAAATCGCCGAACAGCAAACGTCATAGCTCACGGCTTCGCGAACCTTTTCATTCTGGAGAAGAAGGACTTGAACGAGATTTTGGTGCACTATCCGGAGTCTCAGAAGCTGCTGCGTAAGAAGGCCAAGTGCGTGGGGTTTTTAAAAATAGCAGAGCCCGGATATCAGAATCTCAGAGGAGATTTCCCTCTGTGCGAAGCCCCGGGAAAGCTCCTGCTGCAGGTGCTGGGTTCTCTCTCCCAGAGGCGGCTCCCTCTCCGGGCTGGATCCGCTGTGCCTCGGCAGAGGGCACCCGTCCCTCGTCGCTGGGCTGGGGAGGCTGGGGCTGCCCCAGCCCTGCTCTGAACCTTCGCCGCTAAAAGCGGGTGGAGCTGGGGAACGAACGTGGCCAGAGTGCCTTCGTTTAAAAATCTATTAAAGTATTTAATTTTTAGCATTACTTATTATTCTGTCCTTCCTAAGGCATAACAAATCCCTGCCCTTTTAACGCCTGTTTTTTCCTCGCTATAAAATCCAGCTAATAGAACACGTTCCCGGGCTGACATCGTCTCTCCCTTTCCTCGCTGTAGGAAAATGCTGAAAAGCAACAACAAACCCAAAGATGAGAAGGGAGGCCCTGGAGACGCGCTGATCATTCCCCCAAAAGCTGAGACCCCGAAGCTCTTCAAGGCTGCCCTGGCTGCCACGGGGAGGATGGGGGGCAAAGGGCCGCTGGGGCGGCTCCGCTGGAGGCTGAGGGAGCTGAAGGAGATGCAGGCGGCGCAGGTCAGCATGGGAAGGATGGAAGTTTAGCTTTGCTTCATTAGATGCCGAGTCTCTGTTCCCCCTCCCGACGGGCTTCAGACTCGTTAAGGTGCCTTAAGGAAGTGAGCTCAGGTCATCGGGCACTGACACAGCGTGGGCAGATGGGAAGGGGTGACCCAACATCTCCAACAGGGCCTTGGGAGAATGCCATTGTCCCACAGGGGTTTGTTTTGCAACACAGGAGGGTAGTACACTGACTTTTTGCCTAGCTCTGCTAAGCCTGAGTGTAATTTCTAGCTGGGCTGTAGCCACAGATGGAATGAATGCCTCTTCCATCCTGCAGAGACAGAGCCTCTCATAATTAATCGATGTGCTGGCGGGACAGAGGGCAGTGCTGGCACCGAGCACCCACAGCCCAGTCAATATATCAAAGCTTTCCTGGCACAGCTGGGGCAGAGGCCCCCACAGCAGGCACTGCTGTCCCACTAGCTCTGCATGAAACCCCCTGCTTTTTTTTTCTTTCTTTTTTCTTCCAACTGTCTCAGCTAAACTTGAAAACAAAGTTTTGTCCTGTTGTTGCTCTCCCCAGCATGGAACCACGCAGGCTATCACATCTGGACACGTAGAGGGAGGTGGAAGAGTAGCTGATAGGGAGGGGTGGCCTTGAGGCTGGGTAAACAGGCAGGGAGATGCCAGGCATAGCTGCATTTCTGCAGGCCTTCACAGAGGCACAACAGAGGCTTCACAAATGTGGTGTTCAGCACTAATTCATGACCAGTTCATGGCAGTGGTGAACAGAGGCACTTCGGGCTCCATAGGGTAACAAGGCCTGTCACAGAACGGTGCACATTTTGGGAACCAACCCCACTAGCGGGTTAGCAGGACCCCACTGCTGGAAAGACATCCCTCTCCATAGCACATCCTTAGGACAGGTTTCCAAGGCTCCTCTCTGAAGGAGGAGCAGTCTGGGGCTGCTCCCTCACAATACCACTTCTGCCACGTTTAGCCCAGATCAGCCCCTCCAGATGCTTCAGGAGCAAAGCAAGAGCTAGTGCAGGAGGTGTGAGAAGGCTCTGTTGCACTCCTCTCTATGTGTTTCTCAAGACATGCAGGATATAATCCAGCTGCCCCTCTTGCAGGGGGCAACTCTGGCAACAAACTGACATCCCAATGTGTGTGGTGGAACCATAGAACAGCTGTCTGTCTTTGCACAGTGTAGACACTCTGTTGGGGGTACTGGGCAAGCATCTGCTAAGGTTGATTTCACCTTTTTTGTTTGTTTTTATTGCAGGGTTCCAGTTTCAGTCCAACCCCACCAAAGTCACCAGTGCACCAGAGATCGCCTGTCACCTCCCACAAAGGGCAAACCCGCCCAGGAGAAATATCCTCAGAATCTTCTGATCATTTAGTCACCGTTCGTGTGATTCCCACGGCACAAGAAGATGAGGAAATCCTCGCTGCTGAGATTTCAGAGAAAGAAGACAAAGAAAAAGGAGAGAAATGAAACAGCAGCACGTCCTGGGGCAGGCGTAGGAGTCAGGCAAATGCCTGGGGTAGCAGATTTTTGTTATTAATGATTTCCATGCGGTGGCTGTAGGCTTTGCAATGTGCTGCGGGTAGGATCTGCCTCTCTTTTCTGTCCAGACCCTCATTCCCTGCTGATAAAACTCTCTACCATTTGACCCAGAACCATACAAGCCTTCCATGCTCTGCAGATCAATATTTATTGAGCATCTTTATGAATTTCCCACTAAATCTCAGGCCAGCCCTCTTGCTTTGAAATCCAGCTTTATGGAGGGAGAGCTCTGGAAGAAATTGCTTTTTATGGCTCTGGATGGTTAATGAGTGTTCAGATAAAGCGTGAAGAGTTATTCACCTCTGACAGCTGAGTCACTGCTTGGCCAGAAACAATCAGGGGGAAAAAAATAACAAGGTTTCTCTGTTGGGCTCAAGGTTGACAGCGGCAGTGGAGAGTGATTCATCCGGAAAGGATGCGGACTATGCTCACAAGCGGAGCGTGGAGCAAATCACACTGTCACAAGAATGCCAAGGTCTGTCCCTGAGTGCACAGTCTGCAAGGTACTTGAGGGTCTCTGCGTGGTGCCAAGGCCACCTTGAGTTTGCCACTGGGAAGAGTTCCTGCCAGCAATCCACCCTGGGAAGGTGGTGGGGCCTCCGTCACTGCAGGGTCTTGTGGAGAGATTTGATGAGCATCTTTCAGGGATGGAGAAGCACAATCCTGGATGTTCCTGGGGTTCCTTTCTAGCCCTGGGTTTCCATGGGTGCACCAACCTGCCACTGCTGGGAGAGATAAACAGAGGGCAGGAAGGGAGAAGCTGAGGTTCCCAGCTGGGAGGGGAAAGAGAAGTGCAGCAAGTGCTCTCCTCTCCCAGGCAGTGTTTCAGAGTCAGCTCAGAGTCTGTGCCACACAAGCAACTCTGCACAACCGTGCAGGTGCTCCCCTGCAGTCACTGCTGGACCTCAGTGACATCCACTTTTCCAGCAGCTGATTTCCAGCCCTTCAGTCACTTGACTGGCTCTTGGCCACATTTCCCATGCAGGAGCCACGCTGGTATTGCTCATTGCTGCGACAGGGCACTTGTGAAGACACTCTCCCAGTGCTGGGACTGGGCACTGGAAGGGAAGTGAACATCTGATTGGCAGCCAGCACACCCAGCTGATGGCTCAAGGTGTCTGATCTTCTCCCAGCACCACCAGGTCCTCTTCTTCCTCAGGCCCAGCACCAACCAGAGCAGCTGCTGGTGAGCTGAGAGGTGGTGAGAAGTGGGATGGCACCAAACGAGGCACTGCAGATCCTCCCCAAGGTTTTTGCTCACCACATCCCCACAGCACCGCCGGCTCCATTGAGAAGGAGACAGTTTCCATCCTCTGGAGGAAAAGCTGGGGCAGGTTTTGCCGCAGGGAGCAGCCCCATCTCCACAGCCAAGGGGCTTCTCAGGTGTTCAGCAAATCCTGTGAGCAGTGCTGCAGGTTCCACAGGTCTGGCTGTGAGACAGCCAGGGCTGTTCATGCAGGGTGTCAGCTCTGGCATCACCCCCTGGGTGATCCCTCTTCCCATCAGCAGCCTGGGGCTGATCTTCATCGCCTTTGGGATCCTCTTCTTTCATTGCTTTTTCCCCCCTGTCTTGCAAAATAGATGGGTTTCTGTGGCAGAAAAAGCCAGAATAGATGTTAGCATTAATTAACAATGGCTTGCTTTCTTTTAAACAAATTTAACGAACTCCACTGTACTGCAGGAGGGTCTGAAGCCACCACTGCCCTTCACATTGCAGGGGAGAGGCTGCATTCACCCAAACCTCCCTGAATATTTCTCGTCCTCAGTCATTTGCAAGTGGTTTCCTGCTGGGTGGAAGGTTTCCGTGCAGAGTGCAAAGTATTTTCTTTTCACTCTATAAACATTTATATAATCAAACCAGGAAATGTGCAAAAGTCAAACTGGGGCTCTGATTTGCTGCTATGGTTTGATACAGTTTAGAAAAAGCATTTAAATAAATAGTGAGGTGTAATGGCTTTCATAATTCACTGTATCTACAATAAACACCACGTAGATTACCGTTCTTTTGCTGTGGATTTATTTCAACATTCCAGTTGTTTTCCCACTTTTTTTGCTCACTGATGCACCAACAGAGCCAGAAAGTCCTGAACATGCAGTTCACAGATTTTTCCAATAAATTATTTAGAGGTCACATAATACTGGCAGAATGATTGTAATTTTTATTTTAATCACCAGCAGGAGGGAAAAACTCCTTCTTAAATGGCAAATATTGCTTGAAGATCTTAGTTTTCAACATGCAGCATGAGATGTTGATGGATACACGACTGGTAATTCTGGAAGCACAGGGACATCTGAAATTATCCTTCCCTGTGTTCTGTTTACGGCTTTAGTTCTTTGGAGGGATTACTCTCCAGGTAATAATTAAGGTCAAGGTAGGGCTGGGCTTATGAGCTGGGCTGGGGAGTTGAGCTCAGGTCTATTTGCTGTGCAGGACTATTTAGAGGTGACAGGGAGGCTGAGGAGACTTCAGTGCCTCTTGGTTTGGGGGTTGCCATGAGCTGGCTTTCTGCTCAATTTTGTAATTCCGCTCATTTACCAGTTTTGCTGTATTTGCAATGGGCTTCTTTGCATTTGTTCCAGCAAGTATCTCACAGTGGGCACTTGTCACTCCGTGTCCCCTACAACTGCCCTTGGAACGTTCCTGATGGATTTGGTAATGCTCCATGTACCTTTACTGCATTTCTTATCAGCTTTTGCTCCCTCCACTTGGTGTCCTCAAGTCTTGGGTCTATCTGATATGATATCCTCTAATAATATGAATGCAGTACTTGAGGGATCTTGCCAGGCAGCTGCTTATTGCCATAGAAACCAGGTTTTCTTGCAGTGATATTTTAGCTGTTGCTACTTTTTAGTGAAATACGTGGAATAGAGGACTGCTGGAGGAGGAAGCAGAGCTTGCTGTTGGAGCTGTAGGAATGTGACAGGTTTAGCCTCACAAGCAGCATCTTTACTGGAGGCTTTATATATACTGTTTACATATATAAAAGTATTAATATAAATACATATATATACTTTTTATATTCATATTCCCTGTGACCTGTGCTGTTATGTCTTTCAGAGAACTGATACTGATTCAACGCTCTGTATGAAGCTAAAGAAGACAAATGTCTCCCTTTAAAAAAATCAGGCATCTGATGGTGGAGGAAGTTGGTTTCCCCCGGATAGAAACAGGGCAGGTAGCTTCTCTGTATTTATAGCCAGAGCAATCTTTTAAAAAGATTAAGTGCAATTGCAGGTTAATCACTGATAAGGTTGTAACGAAAGTAAAAGCAAATAAGCAGGTTTGAGGATTAGACTCAGGTCCAGAAAGAAATTTCAGGATAAATGGAAAGCCCAGTTAAATGGTGTTCAATTAGAAAGCCTGAAATAAAATTAAGCACTTTAACCTTGAAGCCTGCAGACCTTAACCAGCAGGACACAGCCCTAGTTCAGAGAACAGTCTGTAACCCACTTTTTCTGCCTATATATAATTTTTTTCCCATGTGTAGCTCTGCTTTGAGTCATGGTTGCATATAAACCCCTCCGAATCCCTTTTATCTTCCTCTTAAATGGAGCTAACAAAACTCTGGTTTTCTCTGTCCTGAGCAAGCAGCTCCTTTTAAGTGCAGAAATGGTCCCACTGGAGTTAACACCCTGAAAAACAGCCAGACCACCATTTGGGAAGGGGTCACACAGAGGTTCACAAGCCCACAGGTGCCCATGCTAGTGTTTATTAACAGCTCAGCTTAGGCTGAGCTCAGGCTTGATGACCTTTTTCCTTTTCTCATTCTTTCCTCATTTACCCATTCTTATTTTGGGATGAAACTCGCCCACCTTGGTTCATGTCATAGGGTGAATGTCTTAGGGAGACCTGCACGATATCAGTGAGTTGGGTGTGAGTTCATCTGAAGAAGAGAAGCCTAGAAACCCACATTATTTCATGTAGCTTTTCCTGCTTTTAGAAGTCAGTTGATACATGAGAAGAGTTGGAAGTCAAACAGTTAAAGTCTCAAAACTTCTTTCTTGGACAAATTGGAAGGGATTTGAGAAGAAACGTAAACAACTGGAGAAGTGAGATAAATCAGGTTGTGGGGATTGATGATATGGGGTGGCCAGGGAACAGCCCTGCCAGCTCTGGGCTGTCACACCCCTAAAGTGCTCCACACGGTTTTGCAGGTGCTCACTTTGAAAACTTGAGCTTGCCAGGACAGCCACTGCTCCCTTCCCAGCTCTATCTGTCAGAAGAGGTGGGGAGGAGGGCTCTGCATCCACACAGCAGGACTGCTGTCCTGGCCCCCTGCGCGAACATCGGGGCCTTCTGGAGCCTCCCATGTGTCTCCTCGTGGATGGTCCGGATTCACCCCAGGATGAGCATCACGTGGATGGTCCGAATTGGCCCCAGGGTGGGCATCACATGAGCCGCCCCGTGCAGCTCCGTCTTAGCAGTAACCGAAGGAATGAAGACCAGCCAGACTAGTTACTCATTCTAGATAAGAGGCTCTTTTGTGCTGCAGAAATACCAACATCACGTGAAAATCCCTCCGCTGCCATGGTTACTGGCCACCGTCAGAGCCGCCAGCGAGACGGGACTGGAAGCATTGACAGGGCTTCTGGTCTCCCTTTCACAGGGGGGGAACTCCAGCCATAAAACCCACACTCTGCCCCAAAAAGGAGGGGAGACGGCTGCAGGGACTTCTGAGCCCTGCCCACACCCGGCATCGCGATGCTGAGAGCTTGTTGTGTACAGGCTCTGCCCTGCCACTGGGCATTTGGCTCTGGGTTTTATGAATTCCTCACTAATAACCTGAGATATTGTTTAAAAAGTGAGAAAACTGTGCTGCTTCCTGGGTGGGCTCTGCCCCGTTTCCTGGTTTTCTGGCATTTAGGAACAGCTTGACCTCTTGGCACTCTCGCTTTTCACTAATGCTTTTCTCATTAAAGTGATTTCCTGAACACTAATTAGGGCGGTTTTCCTTTTGTAAATTAGCCTGATACGATCTGTGTGTCTTGGCAGACACCCTTGGAGCAGGAACCCAGGGCTTTGCGTTTGATCGCTGTTTATTTTGCAAATATCCCCAGTTTCACTGCTCTTAACTGCCTTCTAGAAAGTACTGGCAGGTGGAGATTAATGGGAGGGAAATGGGGCTTTCCAGTTGGCCTGCCTTGAGAAACAGGAGAGTTTTTGGTGCTACAGGGGCCTTCCAGCCTCTGCGGGTTGTTGGGGTGGTGTGGGCACATGAGCTCCTTCCCATCCCGCCCCAGCATCCTCGCCTGCTGTGCGGTGGAGGAGCAGGTCTGCAAGCAAAGGCACTGCCTGAACCAACCTTTTGACAGGTGATAGAATAAAATATCTGATTAACACGCTCATTCTGTGCAATTAAAGCACTTCTTCTGACTATAGCAATTGCTCAGACCTGAGCAACCCATCTAAGTATGGATGCCTGCAGAGGGAGGGAAGTCCACCTGTCTGCCACTGCCCCTAAATCGGTGGTGTCAGCAATTTGCTGGGGACCAATGGTGCTCAGGAGGGGATGGACGTTAATCAGCTCTCATTTTCTTAATGCACTGGCAGATGGGAGTGGAGGGGACGGTGCTTTCTCTGTCTCTGGTCACGGGTGGGACAGAACCACAAGTGGTTTATATGGGGTGAGAAATTCAGCAGTGAAGGAGACACTGGGCACGGGAAGCCACCCTCTACCTTCACTCACTGGGAAGGCTTGCAGTGAGTGGAGTATCCCTGGAGGGTCCTGCTACCCTGGCTCTGCATCAGCACTGGGACCCTCCTGGTACCAGGCACTATCACGGATCATCTTTACAACAGCATTTACTGGCCCTCAATAAGGGAAGAGGAGAACTGCAGGGACTTCACTCAGAGACCCCTGAGGCTGGGACAGAGCGACAAAGCCCTTGAAGAAAAGGCAGCGATTTTCCAGTGCCAGTGTGCCTGGAGTGCGGCACCAGGTGTGGAAAAGTGTGGTGAAGCATTCCACCCCAGGGAGCTGCTGCTGCCAGCACAGCCCCACCATCCCAGCCGGCTCCCAGCGTCCTAGGGAGGCTTGAGGGGAGGTTCCCACAGACCCTCTCTGGAGCTCAGCATCCCTTCCTGGGCTGTGCTGAGCCATGCACACACTGTGGGCGCTGGCAGGACTGTCAGTGCAGGGCTGGAGCAAGGGGAGCAGCAAGAGGAGCGGGATGCAGGCTGTGCAGAGCATCCCTGCCCGCGGTGAGGACGGTGAGCGGCGCAGCCTCCAGGGGTGTTTCTGCCGACCCGTGGGCACGGTGTGGAGACTGGCCTGTGGAGGAGGATGCGTCTGCAAAATGCACCCAGGACCAGGGGTGGCCTGGATGGGCCCACAGGTGAGAGCAGTGGTGGGGGCTGGGGGTGAACAGGGCATGGTCTGTTTCAAAAGCAAAGGCTGGGGATGAAAACCAGCAAAATGCCTCTGGATTGGAGTTGTGTTTGCAAAACATGCCTGGATGTCTGCACACAGGCTCTGTATTTATTTTGCTGTTGCTTCCCTAGGGGTTAATTCAGCAGCACTTTTTGTCTGGTGGGCTGAAGGTGAAGATACGTGAACAGAGATATCTGAGCCCCAGAGAGCCCTGGTCCCACCTCACCTGGGATGCTGAGCACCCCAGCCATGCCTTGGTCCCAGCTTGTGTACCACTTCCTTCTCCACCTCATCCTTGTTTCACCTGACACTTCTCTTGGATATGCAAATGTAAAGCCCATGAAGGTTTACATGAAATTCCCAGCAAGTTGGCAGTTATTCCTTTTCAGTCTGCATAAACCCTTATGACTATTCCTCCTGCCTGTGCTGCCAGCTTTTCCTTAATGTCTCCTTGTTTTTCCAGTTGTGAGTGATCGCTGAAGGGATCTCCTGGCAGAGAGGACTCAGGTTCACCCTTCACATCCCTTTCACCTCTAAGGCACATGCATGAAAATATGGGTGTGGGTCTGCTCCTCTTCATAAAGAGAAATTAAATCTGCTCACGCGGCGCCGGGTGCAGGCAGCAGAGCTGA